CTTTCTTTCTTTCTTTCTTTCTTTCTTTCTTTCTTTCTTTCTTTCTTCCTTCCTTCCTTCCTTCCTTCCTTCCTTCCTTCCTTCCTTCCTTCCTTCCTTCCTTCTTTTCCCCTCTCACCAGTAAGACAACTGGACCTTAAAGACTTAAACAGCTTCATCACCTTCCCCCGTTCTGATTCCCTTACAGTTAGCTTCTACCAGATCCCAAGGCACTTCTAACATGGTTTCTAGTCCTCATGAATCTCCCAACCGTTCCAATTGACTTGAAATAGTCTACCAAAGCTGGGAAGGGATTTTTAGCAGGAGGAGGCCTCCTTTCCCCAAACCAAGCTGGTGGGTGTAACTGTAAGACACCCCCCCCCCGCAAATGTGGCCCAAGGACAGTCTATTAGTGCCCCAAACAAATAAATAATCCAGAGGTGTCCCCAGGAGGGGTTTATTAAAGGCAAGCTGAAGTTGAAGCCCACTAGTTTAGTTTAGTTTAGTTTAGTTTATTGTCATTTCACCTCGCTATCACAAAATTAAATACCATCTTCAGTGTGCATTTAGAACAAACACAAACACACATCCTTCACTACTCTACACACTGAATGGAAAACCCCTGATATTGCATTAATGTTGCACTATACAGTGGAATTCAACAGAGTTACTTGCCCTAAGATAGAAGCTGTTTTTCAGCTTATTTGTCCTGGTTTTTATTATTCTCCTGTACCGTCTGCCAGATGGTAATAGTTCAAAAAAAAAAAAGGGTGTGTGTGTGCGCTGGATGAGTTGGATCTTTGAGGATGTTTTGAGCTTTCTTAAGGCAGCGGGAGTTATAAAGCTCTTCCAAAGAGGGGAGAGGGCAACCAATTGATCCTCTGGGCAATGACGTTCACCCTACCTGGAGTGCTGTCCTATCTGCCACTGTGCAATGGGCAAACCCTACACAGGTGTGCAGTAACAACACAACGTTGCCAAGATGGACAAATACTCCATTAGAGATTTTTGATTGATGCAAGCCCAGCGCTGTCACCTTGCAGCGAGAAAGGGCGGGGGCAGGGGGTGCGAATGAATTAAAATAAATGAATAAATTGTGATCCGTATTTTTTTTTATTTTTTTTTAAATGTTGCTTTGCAAAATGTTCCCATTATGCTGGGTTTTCTTTCAGCCATCCCACCGTCGGCTCTCCTGCTCCTACGAGACCAACCGCAGCCCTTGGCTGATCCTGCAGCCGCTGAAAAAGGAAATGTTGCACCCGCGGCCTGAGCTGGCCTTGTATCACGACTTCCTCAGCCCTTCCGAGGCGGAGAAGATCAAAGCGCTGGCGGCTCCGGGCGTAAGTGATGATGGCGGGCTGTGGGTGCAGTGGAGGGATTCAAATGTTTAAACTACCCGTTCTGTGGGCGTGGCTTGGTGGGCGTGGCTTGGTGGGCGTGGCAGGGGAAGGATATACTGCAAAATCCCCCTTCCCTCCCCACCCCGCTAACCTGCTTTCCAGCTCCGTTCTCCTGGGCAGGGCAACCAAAGGAGACCCAGACAATCAGCTGTGGGAGTGGCTTGATGGGCGTGGTGTTCTATGGGCGTGGCTTGGTGGGCGTGGCAGGGAAAGGTTCCTGCAAAATCCCCCTTCCCTTCCCTCTCCCCCCCCACTAACCTGCTTTCCAGCTCCATTCTCCTGTGCAGGGCAACCAAAGGAGACCCAGCCAATCAGCTGGGCTCAATGGGAGGCGGAGAAGAGATGGGGGCGGGGCCAGACAGAGGTGGGATTGGCCGGTTCTCCAAACTACTCCAAATTTCCGCTACTGGTTCTCCAGAACTGGTCAGAACTGGGTGAATCCCACCTCTGGCTGGGTGTCTCTGGGGGGGTGGTGAATGTCTCCTTCTGCCTTTCTCTTGCTGTGAAGGGATAGGGAGACCTCGACCCACAATAATTCATTTAGTGGCCGTTCAAAGCTACAACAGCACTCCAAAAATGTGACTTAGGACCATTTTTCATAGTTACGTCCATTTGCAGCCTCTCCTTGCTCACGGGATCCAAATTCAGACGCTCGGCAACTGGTTCATAGTTATGATAATGATCACGGCGTCTCGGGGGGGGGTCATGCCATCCCCTTTTTGGCAACCTTCTGACATGCAAAGTCTACGGGGAAGCCGGAATTCACTTAACAACTAGGTTGCTAACTTATCAATGGCGGTGATTCGCTTAGCGACTTGTGGCGAGAAAGGTTGCGAAATGGGGCAAAACTCACTTGTAAAACAAAATGTCTCACCTAACAACTGAACTTTGGGGCTCGATTGTGGCCGTCAGTGTCTGTTCATTTAGTGTCCGTTCAAAGTTACAACACTGAAAAATGCCACTTATGACCACTTTTTAGGACCATTTGCAGAATCCCCATCACCACACGATCAATTCAGATGTTTGGCCACTGTCTCGTAGTTATGACGGTTGCTTTTGGCGATGTTCTGACAAGTAAAGCCAAATTCACCTACTAATAACTGTGTTACTGACTTAACTGCCGCGATTCGCTTAAGAACGGTGCGAGAAGGTCATAAAAATGGGACAAAACTCACAGTCTTGTTTAGCAACAGAAATTTTGGGCTCAAGTGATAAGATACCAATAGAGGAAAAAGTAATTGAAAAAAAATATGTGAATGTGTGGAAATGAATAGATTAACATTAGAAATTAAAGAAAAAGAAGAACCTGAATATTACATGGTATGGGACTTGTTTTATCAATGGCTAGAAAATAAAATTATTTAAAAGGGATTAGACGTATTTATAGTGCAATAAGAGAAACTAGTGTAATAGATATACTGAATGCTACTTATATTATATATATGGGAATGTGGTTATTATTATATGTATGATGTCCCAGGGTGGGATACAAAAGCAACACAGTCACACAAACAGGTGAAGTCCCTTTAATTCCTTCAACTTGGCTTCAAAGGCCCAATTATCATTGACTGGAGAAAAAAAACTCCCCCACAAACAGTTATGAAAAGAAAGAAATGCCGTCCAAACTAAAAATACCTATAAATTATAAATAGGAAAAAAACAACACAAACCACACTGAAGCAATTAAGGAGACAAGGCAGGATAAGGGCTTGAAGACGTACACAAATATCGAAATACACACACTGGGAAGGACTCCAGAACTCAATTAAGAACTGTAAATTATTTCACGCTTTGCTTCCAGCACTGGGCCATGCGCAGTTTGTC